GACAGAGCAAGGCTCATTTCAGTGGTACCCAATGACAATACGAGTGGCAACGAGCACAGGCTGAAACACCGGGGTTGCATCTGAATGCCAGGAAACACTCTTTTTACTATGAGGATGACTAGGATGAGAGGTTTGTGAGTCCTGGGGATACTGAAAAGCTGTCTGGACATGGTACTGAGCAGCCTGCTTTAAGTGACTTGCCTTGAACAGGAGGGTTCGACCACATGACCCTTCTAACCTCAGCCATTCTGTGAAGCTGTCAACAGATAAAGTATCATTATAGTATCTTATATTTATCTATGTAGGATGACTAGCTGTTGAAGAACATCTAGCACTTCTTGACTATTCACAAAAAAACTGTATGTAATTAGCTGCTTAAGTAAAAGGAGGATGGGATCTCTGTAAGCTGTGCACTATGACCTATAGTGGTTCTTTTCCCATTAATCTTAAGTCATTTCTTTCTCCACTGCCAAACAAAAGTTTTGAAATAGCAGATTGTTTGTTAGTTATGACTGTAGTTTATATATATATATATTTATTTATTTATTTATTTATTTATTTATTTTTCCTGTGGACACTGTGGGCACTGTACTCCAAAAGAACATTCACTAGATTACCAGGTCATTCCCGTAACATATTTTGCCCCAACTTCACATACTGGAACTGTCAAAAAGAAGCCTATTCACTAGCTCTGATCCCTAAAATATATTTCTGCCTCATGCAAGAAAAAAGACTTTTCTAATGGCCTTACTATGTCTCAAGTTACCTGCACTAAAGGATCTGTTGTAGTAATATAAATGTAATGATATTCTACATTCTACTAAGGAGAGTGCTTAATAATTGCTCAATAATTCATCATATGAAACAACAACAAACAAACAAAACAACAACAACAAAAAACATAAGCAGCAATAGCCACTTCATTTTCATACTGCCCAAGGCTGAAATAACGTCTAGCTATTAAGCATAAAATACACACAATACGAGAACAAATAAACAGGTAAAATTCATGTTATCATGCCACACCAGAAATAAAGAATGTAACAACATACTCCAAAAGTACCATAATACTCATATTAATGAAACCAATCTGCATATCTGTCTTCTGTCAATCACAGATGAACAAACATCTGTGTGAGAGTGGACTTACGCTTAACATAGCAAAATTATGTTTCACTATGGGATGGATTTAAAATTGGATGGATACACAAAAAAAAAAAATAAAATAAAATAAAAAAATGCCCCAGTTTATATGAAGACCTTGTGAGATGAATAACACACTACTTCTTACAAATATACTCATTAGAACCTGCCTGAAAACTTGATAAAACAGTTAAAAAAAGATACGCTGAAATGAAATGATAACTTCATTAAACATCTATTTCTCATAAGGATGAAAAACACCTTATGTAGTATCCTTTTACTATTTAAGGAAAATATAGAAGAATATTTGGAGGTACAGCAAATTAAAAAAAAAATCTATCATGTTTATATTGCAAAGTGGAATTCTGCAAAATGTTGAAATGAGACAAATCACTGTCCTTTTGTTTTCTATGAAATGCCATTTTAGGATACTCCAGCGGACCTGGGGAAGGGCTGGAGGTGTGCCAGTGATCTACCCACTTGCACACTTGCAGTCAGCAGCTATTAAGGAGTATTAAGGCCACTGAGTTTTAACATCAGCTTTCAAATGGCACTTTAAGAACATGCCACTGTCAATCCCCATTAATGCACGATGTGAATGTCCATATTCTTGGAGTGTTCTGCTTTACTATAACATGGCCATTTTGAAGATAGAAAAAGTCTTAGAAGGGCTACTCAGGAAGAAAACTCAATAGTATTTTTATAAACAAACTTTTTTTTTTTTTTTTCCCATTACCCAAGTAATAGTTTACTTACATTGTGCTTGTTGTGTATCTTCCATTTATCTTATAGTCTCCATTTTTATCTGTCATGCCTCAATAAAGGTTTTTTTTTTTTTTTTTTGCAGAAGTGTACACTCAGAAAAAAAGCAGAGCTATAACAATCATGTCATTGGTCCTACTGTTTACCATTATCTTCAAGGTTTTAGAGTTGATTTACATTGCGTTCCTCCCTATTTGACTTTAATTGCCTGCTTCATGTTGTCAGGACATAACTATATCTTAGATTTGCATTGCATTAGGGGATCTCTTCCTTTCTCTATTGATCTTGTCTTATGGAGTAATTTAACTCAATTCTAATTTTCTATTGCATGTGGGGTGCTCTCTATCCAAGGAAGTGAGTTATGTGTATTCAAGTGGTGCATCTTATGAATCTTGTTAAGCTTTACTGCCTTATAGCTCGCACTGATGGAATATTTAATCACAGAAATGAGTTGGCAGATATGATGTACAATACGGGTAAGTCTTGCAGCGTGTGTCTTCACCGGCAATTGAGAAACGGTTGAATTTGCCATTCATCAGTGCCATCCTGACAGCTTTGTATAACCTTCTGGTGTTTGTTTGTTTTGTCGTTGTTTTTGTTTTGTTTTGTTTACTTATTCCTGAAGATTAAAAGTACTTTAAATCAATGGTTTCTCTGCAAATGTATCATCTTTACTTCAGAAACGGCCAAATTTTTCATCATTTATTAGAGCTAAAGGAATTTCTTGCACTGACTATGAAATAGTTGGCGTCACTTCAAAATGACAGTGCTAGAGACAATAATTAAAACAAATAACTAGAACTTTGTCTTAAAATCACATTTCTAATTTTATAATCTTCAAAAGAGCAATTGCTTTTTCTCCAGGTAAGGTGGGTGGACACAGAAGTAGAGATATGCCACAGCATTCTATTATGGCATACAAGAAGTGCATTGGTCTTTTACTATCTCATTTTATAACGACTTTAAGAGATTTGCACAGCGACAGAGCTTTTTTTTTTTTTTAAAAAAAAGCAATTGCTTAAAAGAAGGTTTAAATGCCTGTGATACGAAATAAATTTTTAGTCAATTCTGAAAATATACATTTGAGGTGCATATGAAAAAATGCCTGAATATGTAAACAGAAAAAAAAATCTGAAATATATTAAGTATCTCGATAGAATTTTCTGCATAGGTGTGGTGGAGTACATACCATAATTCATAAAATTGAATTAATACTTTTCTAATGGTAATTAAAGATTCTCATTAAGAAGGGCAAACACCTCCCTTGTGTTGGCAATAAAAATGCATTTGGGACTTTAGGAGGTTATACAAAAAAAAAAAATCAATAACCTGCCATTTTATAATTAAAATTAAAAATAAATGTTAGGAAAAATCCAGTAAATTAAGAAAATTACCTTCAGGAGAGATTGAAAATATTGATTTTAATTTACAAACTATGTGAACTCTTCATGCCCTACTTCATGAGACAATTATAAGTCAGATTGTTAATTCTGCATGCGTATTAGAAAATTGATTACTGTACTGTGGGAATATTATTACATTTGTCATTAACAAAAAGTCATTTATATAAAATGACTAATAACTCTGACTTTCTAATTTATGCAGGTTCAGGTTTGGTTCACTACCTACTCAAACGAGATCAATGTTAAATTCCTGTTTTCAGTGTAGACATACATCAAGAAAGGTAATAAATTCTGCCTACACTAAATATCACAATTCCTTGAATACCAGTATTTTTACTATCCTGATGCCACTTTAAATACACAATTTGGATCATTTTTATCTCTTTAGTAAATGACACTGGAGGTATTACAGGCAGCTTCATTAAATTAATTATCAGTTTGTAACAGTAGTCCTATAAAACAATTTTTCTCTCTTCAACTAACCAAACATTTTCAGCCTTGTCCAGTGAAGACTTGAATATCTCCAAGAATGGAGATTCCCTGGCATCTGTAGGCAACCTCTTTCCATGTTTAACTACCACTACTGAAAAATGTTTCCCTAACATGTTTAAAACTTCCCTTGTTTCAACTTGTTGTAAAGAACATATTTAACAATTAATTATTTATTTTTCATTACCTAAATATCCGACGGTGGATATTTTTGTTTTTTAAAACATAAATATTTTTATCCAGTATACACACACACACATAGAAACAACTGAAAAAAAAAAGATCCAAATAAAACTGATAATTTCCCAGAGATTCCCAGGAAACTCATGAAAGTTTATATAAACTCATGGAAGCATATAATAAGAAAGGTGGACAACTTTGTTACCTATTAGAAACATTTGGAGTTACAGTTATTATTTCTTCCTTAGATTTAAATTATTAGCTCTATTGTATATGGCTTTTTTGGACTTGCTAGTGATTATGTTTATAGACTGGGTTCAAGTTCTTCTAAAATCAGCTCAGTTTTGGAGTGCAAACGCTTTCAGTGATGCTGCTATAGCATACTTAGAAACTGTTGCTAGCAATGGAAAAAGGAAAAAGTTTCATCAACTCCAAATTGTACCCACAATCAGAACCATCTCAATGATCTAGAGATAATGCAGGTTACAAATACAAAATTTTTAAAGTCTGAGTAACTAAATATAAAATTTAAAGAAAAATGTTCAAGAAAAATTATGAATGCAGTTACTCTATACATTTGTGTGTATATATGTACATGTATATATAAAATATAAACTTACAGATAGATTTTTTTTATTGGTCAATATGTTTAAATAATTCTAGGAGCAAAGCAACTAAAAATAGAATAAAATAAAATATAAAATCGAATGTAATACCGTGATATTGCAGTATACTCCATATTTTACTATCTATTTTCCAATAAAATATATTCATTTATCTTCTACATAAACTTTGGGATTCCCAGGTAACTGTTAAAACCTTCATCATAAATCTGTAAATGACTGGCAGAACATGAATTAACGTGAATTAAACGTGAATTAAACAAAGAAACCAAACTTCACACCAAATATATGATTTGTACTTCTACATGTTGAAAAAAAAAATCACAAAAAACAAACAACAACAACACCAAAAACACATTAAAATAAAACGCAGCATAGACAACTATAGTTTAATCCTTACCTGCATAGAATTCTGGACTATAAACTGCACCAACAACTGGATTTAATTTCCAGCCTGCAGCAAACATAAAAACATAAACGAGTTAATATTACAATTAATGATAATAATAACATGATGTTTTTTCTTCAATTTTTGTACGGAGATATACACATAGAATGGCTCTACAAAAGGTCATCTTCATGGAAATTTTACAGGTGTCTTTACTGATCTTTATTATCAGAACATTCTGATTCTGAAGTATGGAAGTAAGCAAGGAAACAAATTCTCTGGTCATGACTGTACTGCAAGTAGCACTGGAGCAAATTATTAGGTGAATCAGCCTGGCTGCAATGCAGTTAAAAAGAACTTACTACCCACATTTCTGGAATTAAATCAGAATTAGTTCAGGTATCATGTAGTACTCTAGAGTAGATCTATTCTCTTTCATTGCTTTAAGTCTCTGCTTACAAGCCAGTGAGGCCAAAACAGTTCATTTACTGGACATTTACTTCTGATAAGCATGTGTCAGTGTAAATTACACAACAATAAAATCATCTGAGCATTTTTATTCAACTCTGAACTCTGAAGAAAAAAAAAAAAAAGTGTAGACACTGAACAGGAAAGGTATTTGTGACAGGAAAGATATTTGTGCACCCCCTGTAATCCCAGTCAAATTCCAGGGCCACTTTTTTTTCCACATCACATTTGTGCTTCAGACTGTCTGAAGTACAAAAGTACTTCAGATAAGTACAAGCTTTTTCTTAGTGTTTAAACAACTATATAAACTGCTAAGAATGAAAAATTAGGGGGTTTCAAAAGCACATTTTACCAGAGTAGTGGGAAGCATTGTTTGTAAATGGGAATAAATAAAAATGCAAGCTAAATTCAAGAACTATAGTACTTCAAATAGAATTATAGTACTTCAAATAGATTCAAAACAAAATACAATCAAGGCATTGAAGCAAAGCTTTTCAAAATCAAGAATGGCCAAGATTGGGAGAATTTAAATGCAAACAGTATTGAGGCTTGTTTCTGCCTTGGCCAATAAAGACTGAAAAAAATCTAACACAAAATCTCGATAGTAACACAAAAGAAAGCTACTCCTAGCCTTAAAAATACTGTCATCTCTATCTGATACTGTACTGGGTTTACATGGAAAGGTTTTAGTAGCAGCGGCTGTAGGAGTGGCCTCTGTGAGAAGAGTCCAGCAGCTTCCCCACTGTTAGGTGAGGGCCGGCTCCAAAAGGATACGTTGCTTGCCACAACCAGGCCATGAGCAACAGTGATTGGGCCTCTGGGAGAGCAGACCCAAGAAAGGGGAAAAACAAGCAAGCAAGCAAACAAATGCTGTGCTACAGCAGGTGGGAGAGAGGGGTGAGGAAAGGCAAGAGAACCAGCCTTCCAGACACCCGGGCAGTGCAGCAGTAGGGCAGGCAGTGCTCCAGGCATGCAGCAGCAGTTCCCGGGTGGCCTGTAGACAGGCCCCTGGTGGAGCAGGCTGTCCCCCTGCACCCATGGGTCCCACATGGAGCAGATCTCCATGCTGCAGCCCGTGGAGGAGCCCTGGTGGAGCAGGTGGATGTGGCCTAGAGGAGGCTGTGGCCCATGGAGAGCCCCTGCAGGTGCAGGCCCTGGGCTGGAGCTGCAGCCCATGCAGGAGCAGGGGGTCTGGGAGGAGCTGCCACCTGTAGGGGACCCATGTTGGAGCAGTTTGCTCCTGATGGATGGACTTCATGGTACTGACTCATGCGGGAGCAGTTGTTGAAGAGCTGCTGCCTGTGGGCAGCCCCCGCAGAATCTGTTCGGGAAGGATGGCATCCCGTGGGAAGGACCCTGCATGGAGCAGGGGAAGAGAGTGACCAAGAAGGAGCAGTGGAGACAAAGTGTCTGACCGCAGCCCCCATTCTCTGTTCCCCTGTGCTGCTCAGGGGGAGGAAGTAGAAGAGGGTGGATGGAGGAATGTATTTTTATTTTTTGTTTTGTTTTGTTTATTAATTACTCACGATTTTAGCTTTTTAGTAATAGGTAAACAAAAAAAATAATCTCCCTATGCCGAGTCAGTTTGGCCTCCAATGATAATTGTTGAGTGATCTGTCAATATCTCAAGCCTTGAGATCTTTTCATACCATTTTCTCCCACTTTTTCTTTGAAGTTGGGGAGTGAGAGTGGTTGTGGTGGAGCTTGGCTGTCCAGCTGAAGAAAACCACCACAGATACATGCTACCTGATTATGAGTAAGTAACTGTTCTTGAAAAACATGAAACATGATACATGTAGGTGTTCTTGAAACACAGCTCATTAATAATCTCAGAGTAAGGCACAGCACCATATGCAGTTTGCTCCACAGGAGTAACTGTGTTTGCTATATGCACGTAAAAGACAACTGCAGAAGCTGGAAAATGGCATTCCTTCTGAAAGTATCACAGGATTTTTACTTCACCCCTCAATTTCAAGTACTACAGGATTGTATATAGGAATGTCATGGTAAAACAAATACTCTTAGCCAAATTTTGTCTGATAGAAAATCATCCAAACAGTGAGGCTTTCAATATATATATTTTCAAAATAGATTAGTGAATATTTAGTATTTCAAATTCATTGTGTCCTCAAAGATCGCTCACTGATGCTGCCTGAAATGAATGATTGCACCGAATTACACGTGCAGACTTTTGCTGTCAAACAAGCTGACAGATACCTCTCAGCTTTTTAGATATACTCGCAGTGCCACAATTTTCCTGAGAGAAAGAATAAGATCCTGGAAGAAACGGTTTACTCTTCACAGCTGAAAGTCATGTTCATATTTCAGTTCCTTACCTCTCTCACACTGATGGCTGTATCATCTAACTTTTTGAAGCTTGTACAGGAAATACATTCATTGTGAAAATAACAGCAATTAAACTTAACTTTATCTTGTCAGCTACAAATGTGCTGGCCCATAACTGTGTGGGTTAATCAATCAAGAGAGCAACTGCAGCTGGAGGAAGCTAATTCTCTGCAGTGATTGTTATTTTGTGCATTTCTCTTACTGTCACAATTTCCCCCTCAAGTTGAAACTATAAAAGTTCAAAAAAAAACAACCACAAAAACAAATAATACATCTTCGTGCCCCCAAAAAACCCACCTTATATAGTCATCTAAAAAAAAATACACATTAAACCTGCTAAAGGAGAGGAAATAATTACGTGTTGTACAGCAGAAAAAGCTTTGATAGAAAGTGGGACACAGCAACGTAGAAAGAATTATTTTCGTTTCACAGGGGAGACAAGCATGTGTTGCCTGAGGAATGCATTTGTGGGAAAGAAGTCCTATGATACCGAATGCTTTCTTTGTGTTTGCAAACAAAATAAGGAGGGAATATAACTGTGGTAATAGTCACTAGCTCCAATTTTGAATCTAAGTTTAGATCAACTGAAGGCTCAAATTCAAGATTCTGCAAGTATAACCTTTGAAATATTCCTTTACTGATCTCTGTTTCACGCTCCTCATTCATGCTGAGGTTCTCTCAATGTACTTGTACATAATTCTCAATTCTACAGGATAGGCTGGAACATTAAAAATGTCTCAGAAGTATTTTTGCCAGCAAGTAAACTCTTGACACTGAATTAATTCACAATGAAAAAGCAGTTCTATCTTCAGAGCACATGAAGACAGCCATCAAAATCATTTTGTCTGAGAATAAACTCAGTTTATCAACTGCTCATTTCAGGAGTTGTCCAAAGTCACTGGCAAGCTTATTTATTTCAAAAACAACTAGTACATAAGAGCAAGCCACTTATCTGAATTAACCTGCTTATATCAAAAAGAACAAAAAATCTACTGAGTTTTGCAATCATATTTACAATGTGAGCCCTGTTATCAAGCAATCAGCAGTATCCAGGAAAGAAAGACAGAACAGAGTGTATCTTATTGTGTACCTTATTTTTAAATTACAATAAGCATTAGGGCCTCATATGTTTTTATCTAACACAGCATTTGTCTGCCTGGATATGTGTTCCATACTTGCCAATAACATGTCAGTCCCCACATACACTTTGAAAAATCAAGCCACATGTTAATGAAGAAGTGGTTCAAAAGAGGTAGATATGTATAAACAAAAATTTTCTAGCTGCCTGTCTCAGAAGTATCGTTCAAATGCTAACAGGCTCATAGAAGAATTAAAATAATAATAGTAATAATAATCTTTATGTTTTATTGAAAAGACAGAACCTTTACTTTAGACAAGAATAATATTTAATAATCAGCTGTAGCACTGGTTAATTCCTGACAAAAAGATAAAGAACTAGAATCTCAAAAGACAGGGTAACTAGTCATAGAAACACCAATTAAGCTAAGTGAAACACGTTACACTTCATTCTGTGTTGATTGCAGTGACTGTGCTATAAGAACATGATTCCATTTGTGTTTTTACTTAAGGGGACCCCAGACATTAAAAAAAGTTAGAATAAGTAAACAAATAAATCAACGTTTATGAACTACAACCAGAGTTTGTCTTGGTAGATCCCTGTCAAAAGGGAAAAGAACATCCTGCACGCAAAACCTTGGATATATGGATTCACAAACAAATGCTAATTTTTTTACACTCAGGAGGATGATTCATACTTTTACTGAGATCCAGTCCAGATAGAACAGGTTGGAAAATGACAGACATAAAATACTTCAAGTGGGAAACACTTAACAACAAATTTTAATTGTTTCAATTTTGGATATAAATAAATACAATGCATGACCCAAGAATCTTCCCCAAAACCATACTCCTAAAATCTCATATCTCTACTTTCAGCATTGGACGTGTTGATATGTAATGTGATATTTGATAATTAGCTGTGTTTTAGCCTTGATGTAATATGAATACAAATATGAATACATCATCATTTGTAACAAAACTACTTTTATATTTTTATCATCACAATATAGCAGAATAAGTTCTTAGTACATACCATTTAGTTAATTTAGCTCCCTATTGCAGCAAAATCTTGTTATGTGATCCAGTCAAGCTTCATGTCTCTTTTGTTAGATTCACTGAGATGTTTTAAAAGGCATTAATAATGAAGGAGATTTTCCCATCTGGATCATTTGACAATTTACAAACAAAATTTACAAATAAATTTACAAACAAGATGAGGAAGAAAACAGTTTCTGAGAAAGCATGAGGAATTTCAAGAGCCTTCTTCTCCAGATCATTATAACTTGCTCAATTATCACGTCAAGTGAAAGCCATCACTTTATTTTCACCATGATAAGAAAAAATTACAACTAACTAAAAAATAAAGCCACTGTTTGCCATAGTTTTTAGTAAAACCTCACTAATGAGTGCTCAAATATAGAAAATATTTCAAAATGGAAAAGAGTCTAAGCTAACTGTGGAAATCTTTATATATGTATGTGCAGATTTCATCTGTTTTCTAATGGATGGGAAAAGCTAAATTAAATTGGAAAGTAAATAATTACTGCTACACATTCTAGTAAATCTGGAAAATGTAATTGCAATTCAATTCAATTGATATATTATTGTTTGACATTGAGTTAGGAACTTGTTAGCATTTTTTGAACTAGCAAATGCAAATAACTTCTGGAGCACATGATAAAACACTGCCAGAGAAAACATTTTTAAAATGTGTTGTCTCCAACTCCCTCAAATATCTATAGATTATATTTTTATCATTAATATACTAAATTATACCAACCTGTTAGGTCAGTATTAGAATAACCTTTTAAAGTAACTTGCAATTTAGATTTTTTCCGTGGAAAAGATTACAAGCTGCCCTTTACTCCTAACAAAGTGTGGAAGGGAGGTACAGAAGGGATCTTTGCCTAGATGAGTGCCTCAGTAACAAAAAGTACCTCATGCCTGACAGAGACATTCTTCTTGCTGGCCTCCGTCACCCAAGCAAAACTGAATCCTCTGATTAGTTCATTCATCACAACATCAGCACTGCACAAAGCTAGAAGAGAATAATGCCTCCCTACCAGGTATATTTTCTTATAAAAAAGCCACTGTTGTTAAACACTCAGATTCTCATCAGACAAAATGATGCATGCTATGTCCATACCTGTGAATTAGCAGAAGTCTATGGGGATGGAAATTAAACCTAGCCGTAACATGTTTCCTTACTGGCTCATTGGACAAAGGCTGAGCCCAAGAAGTTGCAGGGGATGCAGACTGTGACAATTCATGAGTAGATGACTACCCATCCACCAGAAAAATGAGATTTCACATGCATAAACAAACAAAAAAACACTGAGATCTCATGCACTTACCATTCGTGTAAGGGTTGACGGTCTTTTTATTTGTCATTACACGTGCTGTTGCATTATTTACCTAAGCACATAGAAAACTGGATTAGAAAGGGTTACAGGAAGGGTCTGTTATATTATTAAATGCATGCATTATTACTGCCATTAGTCATGTAAAAAAAAAAAAAAGCAATTTAATTTATAGAAGGCAACAGGTGCATAACAAAATCATACTATTTATAATTACATTTACTTTCATAACCATTTTAACTTACAAATCATTTCAATAAAGCAACGTCATATCATTTAAACTTTAATAAAAAGACATTAAAAGCAAATTAAAAGGTATTGCATAATTTAAGACTTAAGAGCATGCTTGTATTCCATGATAACACTGATACAATAAATATTCAAAACAGAAAGAAAGATTATATGAAAGAACATGCAGTGGAGTAGAAGGGAAAGAGACAAGGTACAAGGAAACAAAGAAAATGTCCAAAAAAAAAAAAAAAAAGGACAAACGAATTTTAGCAGTGTGCAACATAACCCTTTAGAAGAGAAGTACCATTGGAAAAGCAACATCTAGCATTCAACACTTGGAACAAGAGCCTTTTTCATTGCAAGAATTAACAAAATCATTCAAGCTTTAAAATCACAGCTAACAAAAGGATAAAAAGAGGGTGCATTATTTAACACAATATGGAGTTAACAATCTGAGTAAGATGTGCACGAAGTCATATCCTCAATCCAATCAGTGCCTCCCAGGCTTGCTTAAAACGTACACTCAATTACAGGCGTACCAATATAGAAAAAAATGTAGCATCAAGAAAACTTAATACAACAAGTCAAAAAAATTCACGTGGTATTAGCGCTAAATACGTGAAACGGCAGATGGACTTCTCCACTTACCATTCAGCACCATCGCCAGCATGGGTATGTATACAGTTACCATGGTTACTGAGAGTTTGGTGAGGGCCCTAAGCGCTACCGTCGAAGGGGGAAAATGAAAAGGCAAAATATGCAACATCTTACTCAAAAGACGACAGCATTTTCAATTGGTATTTTTTTTTTTATTCTAACAAATACAATTGAGGCAGTATTGAAGGGGATCCAGTGGTACCAAAAAGCATTTCTGTTGTTGTTGGTTGTTTTTTTTTAATAGATATGACAGGGTCAGGCCACCCAGCCAAAGTAGGCTGATGGATTCATTAAAAATGAAATCTTAAAATTGGTCGGTCTCTAGTCTGTCTTTGTTTCTCTTTCTTATACATCTTTTGGATGCTTCTTTCCCAATCTGATTTTTTGAAAGCCACTGTGGATCCCACATCAACCCTGCAGCAAAAAGAAAAAAAAAAAAAAAAAAAGAAACCAAACCAAACAAGAAAGAACAAAGAAAAGATAAAAACCCAAAACCAAACCAACTAAAAAAAAAAATGAAAAAAAAAACCTTCTTTTGTTGTTTTTGTTTTGTCTGTCACAGCTTTGTTTTGTTGTTGTTGTTCTCAATTTATTTGTTGTTATTGGCTGTTTTTTTTTGTTTGTTTGTTTTTTTTTAGAATCTACTGCACCCATTGATTTACAAAATATCCAAAATAGTAAGTTCAAAATGCTAAAGCTTTCATTTTGTTCAATTTTCATCCACCTTTCAGCAATAATGATAATTATAATAATAATTACAAAAGAAATAATAATAAAAAAACCCAAGTAAGGCCAGATTCTCTCTCTTTATATATAAATATATATATAAACAACGGGAAGGGAAAAGGGGAGCACACAGAAGACACCAATGATGCATCTGAAACAACAAATGAGAGTGAAGCAGACATTTATAAAAAAGATGAAAAGGAAAATATTTTGAACATGCACCTCGATTTTACGGCCCTCTACCACGGTGCCGTGTAATTTCTCCCTCGCCCTGTCCGCATCAGCACTATTTTCGAAAGTTACGAAACCAAATCCCTGCATGCAGGAGGGAGAAGGGGGGAAAACAACATGCACATTATTATTTCAGTCAATGACCACTTGTTTGCTTATGTTCTCTCTCTTTAATTTAATATTTTCTTGTCCTTGCTTCATTTCTGTAACATGCAAATTAGAAAAATTATAATTGTATTGAGATGTGCAATAAATAAGCGACAAATGTGAACAATTTTTTTCTGTCATCAGTTACATAATACCCTCTGAGAAATTCAAAGAATGATACCAAAAATACCTTTCTACGTGTCTCTACAGAGGAAAATAAATCTAACAATAAGAAAATGAAATTAAAAAAAAATTACAGTGTCTTCACAGAGAAAAAAATGAACTAATGAGAAAAGAAAATGAACCACATTTTAACAACATGCAGATATCTCAACAAAATAAATAAACATGTGCACAGAATTCAACACTGAATGTCAATATACTCTAAAAACAATGCCTACTTAATCATGCTGTTGTGATCATAAGAAACATTGTTCCCATGCAACACTAGGGTAACTTAAACTTTTGTCAAACTATACAGCCTTTACTTATTTTTTTTATAAAAGAAAAAAGAAAAGAAAACCTCCAACAAAACAAAAATACTTTTAGAATAAAAATATAAACTTCCTTGTATTAACAGATCAAAAAAAAATCACATGATGTGAATAGAAAAAGAAACTTTGATAAAGAAATAAAAATGAAAACATTTTGAGTAACTTTAACTGGTTCATTTACTGTTTATGTATTGTACTTTCCACATGCAACTGGTAAAACTCCAGAATCCCATGTTAGTGGCACAGGAGCATATTCAACTAATATGAAATTCTGCTCAGGACAAATACTTCTCTTTATAGCATTAGGCTAAACACATATTTCCAGCCCTAGTAAAATTCTTTTATTTTTATTTTTTTCCTGCGCTAAATTAAACTAAACATCATTTACAAATATAAATATACATGTATATATATTAAAATCAGACATTAAAAAAGCATTTTAGAAACATACACCAACCCTTTGAATTAATTCTTACATTAGCACTACAATGCATGCTTTCTTGAATTTTTCTGAACAAATAAGCTTTTATAATCCTTGGTGTTTCATAACACGAAACATTTGCTATGAAGCTATATGTGTCCACTTCTATAAAGAAAGACATTGCTGCAAGTATTTGAAGTCCCACTAAAACCTTTTTCGTTGCTTTTACTTTAGGTTGAAGTATGAATTAAGGTCTTACTTTTGTTTTATCGCTCAACAATAAGCCACGCATCATATCTCCTCAAGCTTTATCCTTCCTTTCACCCTCCTCTTTCTGCAGTCCATTCAATAAATGTTGTCGTCAGTATTCAACCACTTACTTTCAGTGTTTCTACCTATTATTTACACAGTGACTGAAAAAAGAGGAAGGAATGGAAGATATTTGCACTTTTTCAAGGCAAAACTAAGTATTAACAACATGCACTGATAAAAACAATGAATATGAACTACAAAATTAATTCATGGACAAAGTATTTTAATCAGGATCATTGGTATATTGGTATATTGGTATTTGCATTATTTTATTTTATTTACTAGAAGAACACAATGATGCATGCCAGTTTATACAATAGGAAGAGACTTTTTTTTTTTGTACATAGCATTTTTTGTTCCATGCTCTTCAAAATATTTTAAACTTGTTGTCTTTGTTTTGTTTTATTTCGTTTTGTTTTTCTCTTCTTTCCTTTTAAAGGCCCACTGAATGCTGAGCTCACGAGTACTCTAACAACATTCTCAAAACACTTGACTCCACTCTGCCCTCCACAATTTTAGGACAAAGCCACGATCTCCTCTCTTATCATCAGACACCAAGCACATAGCTCTCTTTTCCCCCAAAATACCAGGAGTATTCAAGAGAAAGTTCCCCTCCTCAGTACTAATCCTATGTTTCAGATGCCTGCATAGGCTTTTCTGCATATAGCCCTTCAGGCTCGATGGGCCTTTGGGTAACCTGATCTAGTGGGAGGTGTGGCATGGGGTTGGAAGTAGATGATCTATAAGGCCCCTTCCGACCCAAATCATTCTATGGTTCTGTGGTTCTTGTATCTAAAAAAATCCTCAACTTTAAACTTTTATTCACCCTTTAATTGTCTCCTCCCATCTAAAAAGATTTTTTTTTTCTTTTCTGCTAAGAAAATTTCACAGCAGAAACCATCACTGAAGCCATCAATGCATCAAGCCTAGTTCTGCACAATTCCTCAAATTCTATTTGTTCTTTTCTCCCCTCCCTGCTGAACTGTCACCCTTCCAGAACAGCCAGCAAGGAACATTTGGTGGAATATGTTTACAAAATTTTACAATCAGTCTTACTAGCTCACAGTGCTGCCAGTTAAATTTTTTTCAAACAACTGAATGGAAAGATAAAAACCTAATTATATTTAAAAATTGGAAAGAGGTACAAAGTGGAGCTACGAGCCAAGATAAGACAAGAACTTCAAAGATTATGAAAAGAACACTTGTAATTTTTTAATTTCTTATGTTTTACTTATTCTTATAATTCTATTTAAGATTTTTTTTATGCAAATGTTTAATTTTACATAGCTGACACAGAAACTAAATCAGACAGCACATATTCATTCACCCCATATTTAAATAGTTAGACAAACAAATGAGCATGTATTTTAAAAGCAGCTGATTCAACAGTTACTTTGGCTTAGCATACTATATATTTTATTAACCCGTAATGTAGATTTCTACGTTTTATTTTTAAAGTCTGTCAAATGACTTATTAGTAGCCAAGTAGTCAAAAAGGTTTTGTTTTAATTTGTGAGGTGCATTGGAGCTCTTGTTATTTGAAGAAAGAGTTGCTAATATAATATATGTCAAATATATATATAATATATATAATGTATATAATATAATATATACCAATACATACATGTACACACAGATTTATGTAAGTATATATTAAGTACATAGCCATGCAGAGCATTAATTTGGAACTTTAATAATAATAATAATAACAACAACAAAAAAGCTACTTGATGTTCCTGTATCTTTGCAACTGTGCCCAACAGACAAAACCAATGCACAGCTCTGTGGAGAGCTACTGATGCCCAGAGTGTGGGCAGGTTGGTCAAGGAAGCACATGCAGTGTTAAAACAGAGATTAGCTTTAAAATGAGCACAGAAATGTAAGTTATATATCAAATTGTCCTTCCAAGATGACTAGTAAATGCAGAGAATGGTAAGAAAAGAGAGGTGAAGAAAGGCCTTTCTTAGTTTGCCATCTTTGAGCACTGAAAGGGTTGTTAGACATTGGAACAGGCTGCCCAGGGAAGTGGTGGAGTCACCATCCCTGGAAGTCTTCAAAAGACGTTTAGATGTAGAGCTTAGGGATATGGTTTAGTGGGGACTGTTAGTGTTAGGTTAGAGGTTGGACTCGATGATCTTGAGGTCTCTTCCAACCTAGAAATTCTGTGATTCTGTGATTCTGTGAAATGTTCCACAGATAACAAAATACAAGTTGGCTGTAGCAGTTTCTGCAAAGCAACATGTACTTAAGCAGCAAAGTTGTTTTTTGGTGATTGGAAACTGTTCCACATTTTTGGTATTCCATGTACTTCTTTCTAAAAATATTGCAGATTGCCACACACAAAAATCACCATGCTCTACTTTTGGCTTGACATAATAGCAGAATTACCACAGGTTTTTAATGTTACCTTAATCAACAGAGAACTAACATAAGTTATACTAAGGTATAACTTATTTTTTAACACAGTTTGCAAGATCTACACTAAAGCATTACTGACCTTCTTGATTTCATAAAAAGAAGTTTCAAAAATCATGAGTTGACACGTGATTCTAGGAAAATTACCTTTATTATTATTATGCCCCAAATCAAACAAATTTGTAGTATGAAATTGGTATTAGTATCTTAGAGTTAAAAAAAATATTTTCATTTGTAATTTTTTTAAAATATTTAGTGCTGTATGGTAATGCTATTTGAATCTGAAATTTAATTTTTCTCTAATACTATGGTAAGAAAAAGAGTTTACTGCTGTTATTTTTGCAGGAATCTGTTCAAATATTAATTGTTGGAGTCAAAAGAAATGAACAACAATAACAAAATCTAGAAATGCTTCTATGCCAAACTGCATCTTGAAACAAATTTGTATTTTGATCCTGGAAACTTTTGTAGCTATACTTAGTTTGAAGCCACTTAGGAGTCTTTTTAGTTTTGGTGGAATTGCAGTTTTGTAAAAACAGATAAGCACCATCAGGAATGGGATGTTAAATGAGGTGCATCTTAAATCCTACAGAGTAACTTGTACTGATGAGATGATGAAGAAACAAAAAAAAAAAAAAAAAAAAAAAGGAAAAAACACACACACACAACCATATTTCTGTTACTCCTAATGCTGTTTTTGTTTTCAGTTTATTTAATTGAGAGAAGGTCAGAGTACCTCTGTAAATTAGAATACTATGCAGATATACCTGAGCTAACTCAAAACAAGACAAGAAGCAGTATACATAAACAAAGAGATATATCTCAGAATTGTTTTATTTATTGTTGTTTATTTATTGTTTCAGTTGCTTATTCAGAGGCAGCTTGAGCATTGGATTCTTAGAACTATTTCATAATAGGTCTGAAAGTCTCTAGCACAAAATGTGTAACAGGTAGTGATGTTACAGAACTCCATAGAAAAATCTCTTGCTTGTAACACAAAGCACTGACATATTTTCACTACTGTAGGATGTAGGATGTAGTGAAAAACCCCAGTTTAGAAATGTCCCCCAACCACTCAAAAAGCTTAAACTTATGCAGTGTGATGCAGGCATGGTGGTTAGAAGTCAGACAGAACCAAGTGAAGTGTGGGATGTCATAATGTAATTTGAAATTTATAAAAAGATAAAATGATGTGGTAGGAACAGGTTCTGGACAATCAACATTTTTATTTTTATTTTTATTTTCAAAAACTACAGAACAGCTATTACGTAATGATAATGAATTGCAGCCAATACAGAAGATCTGCCACTGTCTATGAATAAGCCACATTGTTAGCCACTAAATTCCACAAGTTTTGATTGCTAACTGAAAAACAAATAAATGTTCCAAATGTTTTTGGACTGGTAGGCTAGGGTACTAAGGAATGAATGTAAGAATAATTTTGAAATATAAACCAGAAAATTTGAGCTATTCCATAGAGAGGAAGAGGAAGAAACAGTGAGCGGTGGCTTTAAATTTATAATTTAAATACTCACACCTAAAAGGAAAAGAATAACAAAAGAATTAAAATATATCTGATATAAGAGATTATAATATCTATGGTTCACCTTAAAAAAAAAAAAAAAGACTGACTATGGTATTTTTATAGCAGGAAAATAATTCTAGTACTAGTAATAAACCATATATGAGTTGCAGGAAGACTGAAACAATGCTAGTCAAATATTATAATTTTCTTCCATGGGAGAAACAGGAAAAAGGTAACACACATATGCCATATGCATAAACCCTTATAATGCAGCTTATATCATAGGTGAAGCATACTAGGAAACTAGAAACAGTTTTGAACCAGGTAATGACAATAATGTTGGCATAACTATTCTGTCTTGATTTATTTCTTAAATATCCAGAAAATTGTATGCGTTTAAGTCAATGTAAATTTCAGAAAAAAAAAATCTTTGTAATACTACAAGAACTTCTTTTATCAAATAAATGTTAAAACAGATTTTATTCAAAGGGTTGGTGTACTGAAGCTTTTACTAAAGAGGAAAACATCTGCACTTAAATCTTCTGGAACAATCATATTTTCTCACTTAATTACTGAAGAAGATTGTTATTAGGTATTACTACCATCTTTCAGTTTAATAGAAAAAAAGTGCACTAATACAAACCTGCCTAAAAATATCTGTAAGCATGGACTCATCTTATAAAATAAACAAGGCAGTTATCATTGGAGAATAAAGAAAGCAGAAATAACATTCCTATAAAACAGATGACAGTCTGGAATAGTTAAAATTACCCCCTTTAAAAGATACAAAATGAGTCCAATGATTTTCCTTCTGCTTTGGAAACTAAATGACAAGTCAGAAGATGTTTCCACTAACATGGAGTTTCAGATGTTATTTTTACAGCAGTGCAGTTGTTTCCTTTTTCTTATATGAAATATTAAAAAAAAAAAAAATCTTGGGTGAATTAAACTGCTTACCTTTGAGCCTCGCTCATTAAAAATAATTTCAACATCTAAGATTTTACCAAATTGCTGCAAAGAAATAGAAAATTAACATGAAAAAAGATAACTTCAATGCTTTATCATATAAAGTACAAATGTTTGTTTCAGAAATTGATGCACCATATCACAAAGTTAAAGAAATATAAAATGAAAGACAATCAAGCACCAGAAAAGACACACTGAAGAGTAGCCAAATCAATATTAAATGTCATTATACTTGTCATGATCATTCCACATACTAATTTATGAACTTTAAATTCAATGAGATGTTCTGACAAAGAGGATATCATCACTAAATTGTAAACAGTAAATTGAAAGTCCCAATTTTGTTTTGGTTTTGTTTTGTCTTTTCATATATTAGGTTACTTTCTGGTGATTCATCCAGTCCAGCTGCCATCACCAATTGTTTTAAATGTAATATGCTGTAGAGTTAATTTGATTATAGTACAATAAAACATCACTAAGAAGACAGGATTAATGGCCACATGAACATTGTCGCCCTCTGGTCATCCTATCCTCTAAAGGACATTTGTTTCAGAAAACTTTTTGCAGTTGCTTCCCAGAACAGGTAAAGGAGTTTGGTTTCATCTAATTCTTGTAAAGCAGAAGTAACTAAGTGGGAGTTTTGTCAGTGGCTTGTTGAAAATAATGGATATGCCTTGTTGAAAAGGTACGTCCATTATTCCCTACCTAATTCTTGTCATCCTAGAAGGTAGTTTGGAAAACTAGAATGGATACTTATGTGTTGATGGTTTTTTCTCCCACAGAATTGCACTTTATTATAATGTTTACAGTAACTATTATTTACCTTCCAATAGCATTCACAATCATCTAGGCATTGTTCATGCACACAAAACTTGACCACAGTTGCTGTCCTAAAGAAAAAGGCTCTGTTGGACTTGTCTCAGTAAGAGAATAATGTTTGACTCAGGCAGTGTTTAGTTAGAGCACTTTCGGAGATGGCACATTCTGCGATGTGACACTCTAATATATCAGTGGGTCATTTCTGTTGTTTCTTATATCATTAACATGCTGTATAGATCAGTGTTAACACTGACAAATGACACAAATAATGATTAAACAAAAAGGCAGAAATTAGAGGCAGGCAAATGAAGAAAAATCTATCAACAGACCAAGGAACTGCAGTCTTTTAAGATGTACTCCAGTCTTTTAAGATATAACAAACACTTATAGGACAGAAAGAACAGCATTCCTTTTCTGCCTTATTAAAGTGTTTCAACTTAGTTATGAAAATCAACTATCATTTCTTGTCCCTTGTCTTAATTTCTGTTCTTGTATTCACCATCTAATTAACTAATATTTTAACTACTTTAACCTCTAAGCAGACAATGACTTAATGTTTAAACAATCCTCCTCTGCTGTATTCAAATCAATGTTAAAAAATATATATATCTGCCATGTGCATAACGTGTTCAAGATGTAGCATTACAATTTCATTTCAGATATCTAATTAAACTCACACTTCCAGAAATTTAATTTTTATATCAAGTCAGAAGCTAAAAGTTTATTGTTGTCAAGTCATTATAAAGCTGGAAATCTCCAGTCATCCTTCAGTTTTATTCTTTTGAGACCTAAGACATAGAAATATTGAAAATGAACTGTAGTTTTTGTTCATTTATAAATTTCAAAAATCCCTAAAAAATACTTTCCTTTAATGTACTTTAAAATAAAATCCATCTATTTTAAGTGGTTTGTTTAATTTAAAGAAATTTGCATTTTTCCCCTCTAGAGGGTTGTTATGCCTTCTACTATTTTGCTGATGAGTTGTAAGCTGCATTTAGGGGAGGTTACTTGCAGCAAGTCATATATGGTAACACAGTCACCTGCATTACCCAGTGCCATACTAGGAATTTTTTTTTCCAGTGAATGTTTTCCTCATTTCATACAAATAAAAGCTGAAAACGTCTTAACACACAAAGGTATTAGAAGAATTTAAGTCTGAACTGAACATGAGAGAGCAAGAGAAGGATAGTGGCAGGCAGTATTAATGCTATTCCATATAAGATGAACTGTAACAAAGAGACCTAAATTTTAGTAAGAAAGAAGAAAGCAAGAGGAACACAAATACTAAAGAGTACTAGCCTGGAAAAGGAAAATCTGGGTTCTAATAGCTGCTCAAGTACTATTTCTAGATTGTATTTAGTGAGTTTTCAAAAATAAACCTAACAGTTCTTGGAGCAGGGAGAAGAAACCAGGTCTAACCTCTCCATGGTTATGAGCCTAGAACTGATGGCACGTATGAGACTTGTGAAACAGCCAATGCACATGAAGGTAGCTGATGGCCTGAGCAAAAGCAAAAATTGAGAGACTTAGAGAAATACACTGATAAAAAATTTAGAAGCCTATAGATCTATAATACTTATGAGGGGGTAGGTCAAGATTCCTACTCCCAGAGTTCTTGCTTAAAACCAGCCCATGTCTCACTTCTATAGATTCCGTTCTCTTGCTCATGAGGTCAAATGTTGAATATTTTACATCATACTGTCCAAAATCAATAAATACAGGAATATAAATCCTGATGAATACAGCAGGAATATATACTCATTTAATATCTTAAGACAACATAGTTAGCTTTTTTGAATGAAATGTAAAACTACACAATACATAGACTACACCAATCTGTATCACATATGGTAGAATCGGTAGAATTTCTTTTCCCAACTATGATTGGCAAATGTATTGTTATAAATATATGGAAAGAAAATCATCACTGAAAATGGTTAAACAACCTAAATCAGAGAGATCTCTAACAATATTGCCTATAATATTAAGTACCTATTGCAATGCAAATATAAAAAAGCATAAATAAAGCATGAGTACTTACACCAAACATTTGTCTAAGATCTGGATCACGGAATCGGAATGGTATATTTGAGACGTGAAGCCGTTTTGGCTGTGATTTGTTTTCTGTGTTTTCAGAAGATTGTGTCTGTTGCTGGCCATCGGTCTGTGCTGCATCTTCTGTCTGCTAAAAGGATAAAGGAAAACAATGTAAAGCATGCTGCAAGTGTTTCTAAATAAAATGGTGGGCTGAAATTCTCAAAAAAATTACTGAAAATGATTTTTCATTTTCACTCCGACAAAGGTTCTGAAGGATAACAGAAGTTGAAATAGATAATTCAAAATTCAAATCCCTTTCTTTATCTATCTCAATACTGTGTGATTTTAGTGATATTTTTAATACATATTTGGAATATGCCAGGGAATAGGTAGGATATTATTTTCAATGTTGTTTTCCTAAGCTATTGCTAAATAATTAATAAATACGTCTCCCTATACTGTAAGACTGTTGAAATCTCTTTAATGGAAATGGAAAAACAAATGGAAAAAACTGGATCTCCATATCCAAATAACAGACAATTTGTAGTAGCAAGCTATGCACTTTCAAATCAGATTAGCACTTTCATTCAGAGACTACTGGGACTTCTACACAGGAGGTAGGTAACACATCACATCCTAGTTGCCATTGCCTAAGCAATGCTAATAGGCACCAGAGGATCATTTTGTCTATATAAATGGTCACCATTACAGAAAAGGGCTTGAGTTGTGAAAGAGAATAGAAGTATAATCAGTAGCAAAGGTTGCCTAAGATAAAAGTGAAACCCAGAAACAAAGTTTTACAGATTTTCTCTCTCACCAGAATAAGAACATAACATGGTAGTTCTTAGGGGGACTGTTCCCTAGATTTAAAATGCTACTTTATGACTGAAGGATGTTGTGTGCATTATAATTTTAGAAACAAAATCATAAAAACCTAGAAAGATTAGGAAAAAAATAGGAACTCTTTCATTTGAAATGTAAAAACTAAACAACATTGGTTTATCAGTATATTATAGAAATCTCTGGGCTGCACTCCTTAATGATATCATACAGTGACTGTGTATGCAGTACTCTTTCAATCACTGTGTGTGCAGTACTCTTTCACTAGTACAAGGTTTTGTATAGGTATGTTAAAACAACAGTTTTCTTTTGTGCTGGTAGAAAAAAATAGGGAAAATAAAATACATTGATGAAACCACAAGGATCATCTTACAACTGCTACTCTATTTTCTCTATCCTTCCTTTCCCTTCTGACCATATTCTTCTTCCAAGTATTCATTTTTTCCTTGTGTTCTAATGTTACAATTCCATTTCTATTTCAGTCTTTTTTTTATTAAAAAAAAATATTAAAAAAATATTAAAAATTTTTATTAAGAATTTTTTTTTTATTAAAAAAAAAAAATCTCCCATTTCCTGTTAGTATCAAATTTATTTTTAGGGACAACAGTTTAGGCAAAGTAAAAATGATTATATAAAATAAACCTTACCAATTCTAGTACCAATAGGCCTGTTAAGAAGGAAGTAAAAGAACTCAAACAGAAAATATTTACATCAGCAATGAGTACATATCAACTTAATGCTAGCAAATTCAACATCATCATCACCCATCATTATCTCCAGTAAACATGTTCTCAATTTCAAAGGACAAACATCTAGTTTCCTGCATTACTTATGCTGAATCAAGAGTTGAACAGTGCTCTCTAAAGTCATCTCATTCAGGCTCAGTCACTGACCTATTTCAGTGCCAGCAATAGGAGTAGCTCAGACAACTGGGGACAGTTCTAATCGTGGCCCCTACACTTATAATGGGGCATGATAAAAATAGGAAAGAGTGATCAGTGTACCGCAGGTCTGTTCTTCCAGCAACAATGTTGATTTATGTGTTTACCAAAAGAAAATTGTATAAGATCTTCAGTCCAGGATGAGGTTCAATGCATATTTTCTTCACTCACAAAAACGTCCCTCTTTGCTGGGTTAAAAACTTGCTGGATGGCTGGGCCCAGAGCATAGTGGTGGATGGAGTGAAATCCAACTGGCAACTGGTCACCAGGGGTGTTCCCCAGGGGTTGGGGCCCATCCTCTTTAATATCTTATTGATGAGTTGGATGAGCGAATTGAGTGCACCCTCAGCAAGTTTACAGATGACACCAAGTTGGAGGGAAGTGTCGATCTGCTGGAGAGTAGGAAAGCCCTGCAGAGGGACCTGAACAGGATGGGTTGATGGGCAGAGGCCAATGGGATGAGGTTCAACATGGCTAAGTGCTGGGTCTGGGTCCTGCACTTTGGCCACAACAAGCCCATGCAACATGATAGGCTTTGGGCACAGTGGCTGGAAAGTTGTGCAGAGGAAAAGGACCTGGGGGTGCTCACCTGAACATGAGCCGGTAGTGTGCCCAGGTGGCCAAGCAGCCCAACGTTATCCTGGCTTGTATCAGGAATAGTGCAGCCAGCAGGACTGGGGGGTGGTCATCCCCTTGTACTCTGCTCTGGTGAGGCCTCACCTTGAGAGCTGTGTTCAGTTTTGGGCCCCTCAGAACAAGAAGGACATCGAGGCACTGGAGCATGTCCAGAGAAGGGCTACGAAGCTGGTGAAGGGCCTGGAACACAAGTCCTGTGAGAAGCGGCTCAGGGAACTGGGGGTGTTTGGTCTGGAGAAGAAGAGGCTCAGGGGAGGCCTCATTGCTCTCTGCAACTACCTGAAAGGGAGGTGTGGGGAGCTGGGGGGTCAGCCTCTTCTCACAGGTAATTAGCAATAGGACTAGAGGGAATGGCCTCAAGTTGCAGCAGGGGAGGTTCAGGTTGGAAATTAAGAGATATTTCTTCTTAGAAAGAGCAGTCAGGCATTGGAATGGGTTGCCCAGGGAAGTGGTGGAGTCACCATCCCTGGAGGTGTTTAAGGAAAGGTTGGACCCTTAGGGACATGGTTTAGCGGGTGACATTGGTAGTAGGGTGACAGTTGGACCAGATAATCTTGGAGGTCTTTTCCAACCTTAATGATTCTATGATTCTATGATTATACTGCAGTTTCTCTTCCTTCCTTTGAAGTAAGATAACTAGGTGTGATATACAAACTGAATCACTGAAAGAATCCCAGTTAAGTAATTTTGAGGCTTTATTTAATCTTGCCTCTTCTGCAGTGATCCAATTTACAGTGTAGTTCTGTGAATTACTGAATGCCAGTTGCTTAATAGAGTCAGAGGTGGTAAGAGTTTACTGATGGGAGACATAGGCTTGCAACTGCCCTGGCATCAACAACTGAGGTCCCTATGATTTTTGCAAAAGTACTTGATTCACCAGTAATATCTACATTTCACACTATATGATGGTACTGATACACAAATGCAAACTTTTACATGCACTAAAGAATTTTCAAGTGATTCAAGTGTAAAACTGAGTCTTGATCTGCTATTGCCTCAACTCACAGGCAACAACAAACTAAACAGTTCATCCTTAAGTATTTCTCATAATTTAAATAATAAAGCTGGAATATAGCTGTTGAGAGAGGAAAAAAGAATTCATATTAATCTCTTGCTATGACATCTAAAGCCAACTAAAATTTCAAATTAAGATTTTAGAAAATTGATCAGTCCATAAACACCACACTTTCCACCTTCAGACCTTTAAAGGAGAGAAATATGAAGGAAATTCAGTGTGTGGGGGGGTGAGGAACTGGAAAATTCTTGAATACAACACTCAGGAAAAAATTAAGGTCAATTAGATTAATCTGAAGAGAATTAAAGAATTCTGAAGGTGGAGTTCAGCTTCAGGAACAAAGGGTGCCCTGGGAAGAAATTATATAATCAGCATACTGTATAAATGTAAATTGAAAAAAGTAATTTCTGTTCATGATATGAGAAACAAGGAGTGGAGAAGTTGAACCATGCATTATTAACATACCAAAACATTAAGAGCAACTTCTGTATTGAGAAGTTTGACATATTATCAAAAAAAAGCCAGAGAGGTTTCTGAAGATGACACTAAATGTGTCAAACCCATTTACCTGGGTAAATCCAGATACTGTAAGATCCCCACCCATCACCCCCACCCCCACAGCCTGAAATTTAGAGTTCTAGTGAAGAACATCTCAGAGTTCGGGCACTTCAGAAAGTCACTATCATCAAAGATATGTAAATGTCTTTAAAGAGGTCTGTGGTAAAATTAACATAGCTAAAATGCTTACAATGTATTATAAGGCTTGATATTACAATAGTGTCTTTACAAAATGTGTCACCTTCCAGAAATGTACATATGGGCCAAGAAAATCTGGAGAAGGATAACTGCAAATTGAAATTGAAATATGAAACTTACAAGAAAACTTCCAAGTAACACCAAGGAGGTAAACAGATGTAGGACAGAGGATACAGCCAGAATTTTGCAGTCACAGAAAGGAAAATTTCAAAGCCCTGTGGACTTGAAGAGCTAGAATGCAATTTACCTTACACATAAATAATGCATTTCAATATAGAATTTTCATTGCTAGAAGAGATAAAACCTATGTTTGATATTTCTTTAAAAATTAATTGAAGTTAGTATGTAAGATATTAGCCTCACTACATCCCTGCAGTCTTATATGCAATCAGTGCAGGTCCTGATCCATTAAGGGTTTGGTCTCTTTCAGTACCTTCCCTAATTCAATTAAGCAAATTAGTATGCATTATGCAAAACAAATAAATAAATAAAGTGCCTATTCTTTAACATTGAACAGAAATTGAACAAAAGACAATATAGTCTGTGATTTTTCCACGCTACCTCACATTTTAAGTATAAAGTTGCATCAGTTATCTTCAGATATCAACAAGCTATGAATTTAACTTTGTGAAGAGGCCACAATTCATAAACCAATTATTCAACACATTTTACTACTGAAACTATCTATCTCCTGTCACCAGTTCTAAACAGTTGCATCAGAGCCATTTCTCTAAAGATCTTCTAAAACCATCACAAGAGAAACATGTTTTTTAAACAGTAATCTTACAGAGATAGCTTAGAAAAGAGTTTTTGAATCTCAAGTGTAATTGCCAGATTTGCTTAATGAAAGTTATTTAAAAGATAATTAAATGTTTTATCTCATACCCACATAGCCAATAAGCTATGCCAGGCTTTTTGACAACATGAATTGACAACATCATTGAAATGTGTCTTTCAAGA